AACTGATTTCTTCTTCCTAGGTGGAGCACTTTGCATTTGTCTTTGTTAAACTTCATCCTGTTTACCTCAGCCCATTTTATTAAGTGTAAGGTTCTCAGAGCTAGGACAATGTCTCTTTACATTCTTTGTACAATGTCAAGCATCTAATGCGCTGGCACCTAGTTAATAATAATACAGGGAAAAGACAGTATTGATGGGGGAACAAACAGTTTAGATTTAAAAAAATAGGACATCAAGGGAAAAAGCAAGTGAGCAAGTGCTCCTTGTCTGTTTCCTTACAATACATTCCTTACAGGCATCCTTTTTAGCACTTCTATAAACTGAAATAAATACACACACTGTTTTACCTCACACTCAATATGTTTTAAGCCCTCAGATTTCTTTGCTAAATTTCACATTGCTAATTAAAATGTCAGACAATGGTCTGCACGTGGCAATTTTTTTCCGGGTTTTAAAACAGAACAGTAGCTTTCACGAACAGTTTGATTAAGTTGGATCTGTTTTTTTCTACATATCCAGCCATCAACAGATGGTAAAGCTTTTTTTTTTTGCTTGCATGCATATTTAAACAGTGCTCCTGAATGAATTATAAAATCCAAGTTTTATTTTATTTTTTTACAGAGTCAATCCTTTAAATGCTGTCACCAGGACTCCATCAAGTAGAGCCCATGTATCATAGATAGGGTGACCAGATGTCCCGATTTTATACGGACAGTCCCAATTTTGGAGGCTTTTTCTTATATAGGCACCTATTACCCCCCACCTCCATCCCGATTTTTTACACTTGCTATCTGGTCACTCTAATCATAGACCCAAAGACCATCATATTTGGCTTCATTTTCACTAGATTTTCATGTATCTTACAGAGTCACACGAGACACAAGCCAAATCTCCCCCATTCTCTGTAAACTTGTCAAGTACATTCTGAATTCTAGGCTGTTATGAAGTGACATGGGAATGTAATAGTATGAGGTTGGCCAGGCTGATGTGTCTCATTCAACCCTGTTTTATCTTTAAGGGTAGCTATTAACAGCACTGCCACTGCTGTGACCAATTTCTCTCATCACTTTACAGAAGGAAATAAATCCATTTCCTTTAAGCAGCAAAATCACTGATTTTTTTAAAGTGTTTAATAAAACTAGTCTTCCAAAGTTTATATCAATTAAAACACATATGCAACTTATGTAGGATAAAATTGCCTTGAAAAGCATGTGAAATATGCTTGTAATTAATATTCTTTACAACTTGTATGTAAGCAAA